CTTACGAGCAACGACGCCGGTTGCCAACCTCTCATTTACCTAGCGCGGTGGCTGTTCAGGTGGGCGGCTCCCAGCTCCCAGCTCCCGGCTCCCAGCTCCCAAGTCCCTGCTGCCGATTTGAGCATATAAAACAGAGACGGCCCGCAGGGGGAGGGTCTGCTGTTTGAAGAATATTTGCTGCATATTCAAGCGGCTGGCTGGCGGGGGCGGGCTCTCCACGACTCACTAAACTCGTCAACGAAATTCAGGACCGAAAATTCTCGTACCTGAGTTTTTGCGGAAACATGCGAAACTTATTTTGCAAGTTTTATGTGCACGAGCAGCAAAGGCAGCAGAAGCAGCAGCAGCTTTTATTTTTTCCCTCGTATATTTTTTGCTTACTTTATTTTTTGCTTTTTTCAGTTTTTCACATCTTGCTCTTTGCTGAAATATTACAGTCGCACTGAGCGAAAACGCCGAGACCCCTCAGGCCATAAGCCAAAAGAGACTGAACAATTTCGAGTGAACTTTAACTTGTACATTTTTCTTTGAAGTTGCAGAAACAATTAGCTGAAACTTGCGTGATTTTGCCTTATTATATTTTCTTGCCGCCAGTTTCAGTCAGTGCAGTGCCAGCCAGCCAAAAAAAAAAAACAAAAAACTTAGAAAGCCGTCGAGCAGATGGGGGAATCCATATCTGCGCTATTGGCTCCAACTGGGGCCACATTGCATGGCAAGATGCCATCGCAATTTGGCTGGCTGACAGACTTCTCTGACGATGAGGTTGGTGCCGGGGTGATGAGGTGATGTGAATCCGAGCATAAAATAGAATTTCTAACATTACTTTGGAGGAAGGCTGGCTTAACGCGTTCCCATTTCATGGATTAATTGGGATAAGGTTGCCAGGCGAGAACTCGATGCAAAGACACTCGATTTGAAAAGAGAATAAAACGGGTTTATCAGCCTCAGCCAAAAGATACAGATGCAAATACCAAACGATATCTCTTTAAGAAACAAACACAACAATTATAATGTGTCCATCGAACAATCGGAAAGGCAGCAACATTAAACAACATTAAAAAGCAGGCACGAGCACATGCGGCTGGCTAATGGGTTTATTTTTTTATATATACACTCTTCTCTTTTTTTTTTGTGTCTCTGAGCGAGTTACACGACTGGAAGCCATCGCACCAAATACGCAGCGGGAACGACCTCGATGTGTCTGAGGAAGAGGCAGCCGCAGCGGCACAAAGGCAGTTTGTTCTGCTCATTAATAGTTTTATTGGGCGAGTCGAGAAATCCTTTTCTGAGTCTTAGAGGTCGCTCCAGTTATGGATGTGTGGGCATTAAGAAATATTGCATTTGAATCTCACACAATCACCCGAAGGTCACTCGGCACCACTAAATTTTATCAGACTGCTCTCGTTTTCATGTGAAACGCACCAGTTTTGCCCCTTTTGCTTTTTTGTTGTTGCCCCGCTTTTTACAATCGACATTATGAAAGCCTTGAAATATGAAATATAATTATCGTTGCCGTCTGCAATTGACAACTGGCAGCCCTTTTTACATTTTTCTAGTTTACAATGCACTGTGAAATTGGAACTCTTTGGAGTGTCCTTGTCCAAAATTGGCTTGCACAAGATATTTCTGTGTTTCATGCCTTATCTAAATAGTCTACGTGTATTTATGCTGAACAGTCTTGAACTTCGAACTCATCATCATAAAACAAGGCAGAGAGACGCAACTAAAGTAGAGCCATTTAACACGAGCCCAGAAACCCATTCCAACCAAAGACCAGCGCCGATAATACATATCAATGAAATAGAAAAATCCCCAGGAAAAGCACTGCGGCCTGCTCACGGGGCACAGACATCATCACTTTGAATCGAAAAACTAATTCCCCGTTTGTCAGTTAAATAACACACTTAAAAAATCGACCTGCAGCTTACAAAATCTTTCTAAAAAGCTTTTTCTGATTGTTTTTTACTAAAAGTTCTCTAAAAATAAAATTAGAAAGGTTTGCCCTAAATTTATAATCGCATTAAAAAGTTGTTATATTTTTATATTTCTATATAATAGAAAATATTTCTAGAATTAAATACAGCTTACACCATGGAAATGAGATATATTTTTGACACATTTTAGAAAATCCACCCTGAAATTAGGAAAGGCAAACTCTCATTTTAAAATGCCACCACCATTTTAGAAATTGACTTTCTGAATAAGCCTGATTGCCAAAAGTATGCCGCAATTCTATTCTATAAATTCAGGACAATGTTTTTTTCTCAGTGCACTGGGAGCCGGTCTGCAGTTGAAGGTGACTTTAACAAAGTGTTCCCACAGTGGCTAATATTTGAGTTACATAGCAACAGTCTTATCAAATCTCTAATCAGAATTAAACAAAGTATTTATCGGAATTCGGGATATATATAGACATATTTATTTTCTGGAACAAATGTAAGTTTATAAATGTGCAGCTGGCTCCACTGTGCAACGTGGATTGGCGTTGGTCACGTTTCAGCTACTGGGCCCAGCATTAGCCGATGAGATAAACGATTACCAATAAAACACAACACTGCCAGTGAGCCGGAAACACTATTCCTCCCACCTTTTTGCACGGCTTTTGGTGGGGCTTCGTACGAATCTTCTCGGCTCCCAAAGCCAACATTGTTGGGCAGTCACTGGGCCGCGATGTTATCCGGATCACTCCTGGCCCGGATTGTGTTGTGTCGCACGGATGCTGGGATGGGATGCGATGGGAAGGAGGGGATGGCGCTCGATGAGGCATTAAATTGTATTAAAATGCGCAACGCACAAGCGCACGCCTCCATCCCTCCAGTTCCCCATTTCTCCACCTCATGCGGGACTTACTTATAATGCTCCCAGGCGGCTGCAAAACTTTGACTGCCTTGACTTTGCCTAAGCGGCGGCATTTATTTGTAGCTCATTCTCTCGTTGCCAACGGTGTGTGCCTTTGTGTGTGTGTGTGTGTGTGTGTGGGGTGGGAGGGGTGTATGCCGACTCTGGGGAGGTGGCTTTTTTCGTAGGTGGTGCCAGAGCAAACGGTATTTTATTTATTTTTATTGCCAAATGTCAACGAGGCAATTCTTTCTTTGTTCGTCAGCATCAGCATCAGCATCTCTGAGATATATCAGGAATTGAGTTTGCCTCGGCGATTGCGTTAGTATGCCAAATGAAAATCGAATTGAAAGTTTTCATTTTCATTCGTTTCGTTTCGCTCACGAACAGTCTTTAAATTTATGTTCAACTTAAGGGCATAGTTTGTCTGCACTTAAACACACTATATATACATACATTTAGAATTCCATTTAAATTAAATAAATGGTATTTTAAAAAGTGCCGATATTGGAATACAGAGACAACAGCTGTCTTGCGCGGGCAGAAGTTTACTTACTTTTTTCCTATGCAACCTATGTGATATTGTAATCCGATATTGATATTTTTTATTTGTTCATTTGAGGAGCAATATAGCACGCATATTAAGTAAGTTTGAACTGATCTTTCAACCGATGATTCCTATTCAAGTTAAATATGATTTAGTTGAGAACATTTTACATTATATTTATAAGCAAAAAAATCTCATGCAAGAACTACTACTACTATATGATATAGTGATCCGATCTGGCTGTCTGCGACAGAAATAAAGACGGCTAAATATATCAGGATAGCTTTGAAACTGAGGGAATAGTTCAGTCAGGCAGGCAGACGGACAGACACAAGGGACTATGTCAACTTGGTCTGTGACGCTGATCAAGAATATATTTATATATATTTTTTTGTCTGTGTTACAAAATGCCTTAGCAAATAATAATAATACTTTCTGAAAATGTATAAAAATTGATGATATTTTTCCATAGATATTTACTATGTATGAAAGACACAAGCCATGAATTGCAACAGCACAAAACCAAAGGAGAAAAATAACAAAGCGCACAATGCAACACCCCAAACAATTTGCATAATTTGACTTCATAATTGCCATTTTAAATTAAATACCTGTTTAGATTGATCAGCTCCAATTCTTATGATGTTTTGATGCCTTTGTGCAGTGAATTATATTTTGTTCTAATAAAGCGTGTAAGGCATTGAAGCAGACATCTCTGATTCCAAAAAAGTATGTATGTTCTTGAACAGCATTAACTAATGAATGTCCTACTTATGAGCAAAGTAATACCTCTGTTTACTTTGAACAAATCAGATTTTTGGCTGAAGTCGGTGCAGGTGTATATCAGAATTATCAAAACATGCATTTTAATATAAATATAAAGAAACAAACGCCATATATAAGCGATGTTATGGCTGCTGACATTTTAGCAATAAAATGAGCAGCATCGGAATCCCGTGGGAAGAATCGTTCGCTTTTTAATTTATAAATAAATTTGGATGAGAGCAGGTGCAGTCGATGTTTGCGTCGTGACTGAAATATATGTGTTATCTTGCTTAAATTGATATTGAACTTTATATTTGAGCAGTTGAACTCCCGTCTGCTGGTTTATTTTTGTGTTTTCTCATTAATGAAGTATTGCCTGTATTTTATATCGTGTGGGCGTAGCACGACACTAGAAGTAGGTAGTCCATAGTCTATCTTGTTAAATGTATGACTCATGCTCTAAAACAGCCAGCTTTAAAATTATGGAAAGTGTGCAAATACAAATATTTTAAATTGAACATTGTTTGGTTGTTGTCGTTAGACATTTGTTCATATCAGATGGTAAGAATTCGGCTATTATTATGCTCTGATGCACTCACACTTTTCAACTGTATATATTTTGTAAATATTAAATATGGATATTTATATTTATACCTCATCACCTGCTTCTTTTGATTTATTTTTTGTACTTACAAAATATTGGATAAAATCCAAATTTGCTTACTTTTTTCTTGAATGCAAATAATGCTTTTCTTTACATGCATATAGCAGAAGAAGTGTTATTGCATTTTAGTCTTGGGCTTTTTGTTAATTACAATTGTAAATAATATGTTTTTTTTTCTTTTAGCAGACTGCTACAAAATGCCGTCGGAAGAGACCAATGGCAAAGTGCGAAACGGTTCCGCGCTTAAAATGAGAGCAGAGGTGACAGTAAATGAGAGCGCCGACGCAACAAATGGAACAGAGAGAGAGAGAGAGAGAGTGAGCGCGTTGTCATGACAACGGTTTCGGCGGCAGCCATCTTGGATATGAGAGAGAGAGAGCCGCCATGCAGCGGCCATGCTGTTGGCCAGCGACACTCACACGCTGCGGCGGCTATTGTGAAGTTCTGTGACGTGACTGAAATATCGCAGCAGGTAAAACCGTTGCTTCTCGTTTGCCTGTGCAGCGATTTTGCTGCCGCAGTGCCGCAGTAACGATGTTCGCGGCGACCGCTTAACGAATGCGCGTGCGTTGCGCCCGGACCGCGACCTCGTCGGTTGGAAGCTGCGACCGCGGCAGCGACAGCGACAGCGGCATCGGCAGCGAAGCGACTAAGCAAGGTATGTATGTATGTATGTATGTGTGTGTGTAACAGAATGAGAACAAATAGTTTGTGGGAAGAAGTGCTCTGCTCTGCTCTGTCCTTTGTCAGTGGCATTTGTCGGGGGTTAAAATGATCTGTGCAAGTGTGCATGTAAGTTAGAAAGGGATACATGTATATACATACAAACATTTATATATATGTGTGTGTTTTACTAGGGTTGCTATCGAGTACACAAACCAGTTTGGCGTTGTCTCTGCTAAGTTCATACGCATTCCAATACGATTTTGAACCAATACTCTCAATCAGAAGCCAGTTTACCTCTGTTCAAAATTTGAATTTTCTTTCCATTTGATCGACAACAGTAATTGTGCATTTTTCGTTCTTAATTAAGATATATATAGATGAATAAAAGTATATTGATGTATATAGATATGTGCTAAGTAATTTTATTTATTTTTGTTTTACTCTGTTTTTCGAATGCACAGCAAAACATTTTTAAAATCGAAATACTCTCGCACACCAATACATTCAAGCATTGCTTGTGTATTAGTGCTGGCGCTCTTTGCCAGCCAATTGTGCTTGTGTGCGTGCGCGCTCTCTTAAAGTGCTTTCTCTTAAAGTGCGCTCTCTTAAGAGCGCTGACTTGCATTAGTATTAGTGCGACGCTCTTTGCCACCACCGTCGGCGCTCTTAAGTGTGACTCTCTGCACCCGTTGCACCTGTTCAGCTGTCTCTTAGCGACGTCTGGGTTTGTTTTGGTTGTTGCCACGCTCTTTACTCTTTGTTGTATTGTGTCTTTTTTTTATGACTGCTGCCGCTATTTGCTTATTGGACGCAGTTGGTCTGACTTGTATGTTCTACCCCCCACTCCAATGGGAAGCCGCGGCGCAGCTTGAAATCTTGTTAGAATTTATGAGAATCTCAAAGTCCTGCGCAAGTTTCTCGGCTTTGGGTAGATGCAATTTCCTTTTTTTACGATTTGCCTCGCATTCATTGCATTCTTTTCGCTTCGGTTCGCTTTCACAACTTTTCCCACGTCCCCCCCAACCCCTCTCGGCTCTTCCACAACCCTTAGAGTGGTCCTTGTTTCTTGCACAGGGAAATATAATGCGCTTTTCTCCCCCGTCACTTTTGGCAACATTGTTGACAGCCGATGCAATTTTTGTTGCTGTTGCTGCTGCTGCCGCTGCTGCTGTGTGGGTGATTGGGAACAATGCCCTGCTGCTGCTGCTACTGCTACTGCCTGTGCTGATAAGAATGATTGGCACAATTGCAACAACAGCAACAGCAGCAAGAACAACTGCAAAATATTCACCAACAGCAAACAATGCATTTGAGAGCATCAGCAGCTGCCAGAAAACAAATGCATTTTTCTCACTGAATCTAATTGGATTCCAACTGTTCAATGGTTTGAGTCTGCGCTAAGGCTACTGATATTGGAAAAACTCAAGCGTTTTTATTCTACACTCAAAATCTGTGATAATTCGAGTTTCGAGCAGACCATTGGCTGAAATTATACGTATTATATATATATATATATATATATATATGTATATATGTATATATAGAGATGTACGTATTTTCACAATTACACAAGTATTTTGTACACTGAATGTTTGTTATGGAAACAATGCGTTTGTTGTTTGTTTTATAAAAATAGTTTGTTTACCTTGCACATTTGAGTAAGTGTTACTTTTGAGACTTTTCAGTTGCAACTGTAACTAAAATAAATACCAAACACTAAACACACACAGTTTGATGTGAGATTGAAATACAAAGATCAGAGTTTAGAGAGAAAATTCTAGCAAAGGCGAGGAAAATGAACTTTGAAATATGTATTTGATTGTATTTGGATTATTTTTGTTATTTTTATTTATTAATACTTAAATTACCAAAATGACACTTCAGTCTATCAGATGAGCTAGTAAAATGCTATAATAATTCAAAATAATCAATAAATTAATTAATAGATTATTAGTTCTACTTTATGTTGCTAAAAAGTATGACTATTAGCAATAAATTAAATTATTAGTTCTCTTCAATGTCCAGTATTAATTGACTTTGGACATATAATAAATAATAAATATTTAGTTAAATTATTAGCTCTATTTAATCGGACTATATTTACACTTGTAGCAATTGACTTTGGTCATAAATGTTCAAATAATTTCAAATAATTTTTTAGTTCTTTTTAATGTTGCTCTGACTTTATTTACACTTGAGCCCAGTCACAATTGACTCTGGTCATAAAATAGAAAAAAATGTGCGTTAAATAAACAGAATTAGAACTTTACACCAAAATCAAACTGGAGATTGTTGTCGCTAAAATATTGTGAGTGAAGACATAAATCCTTGCAGTGCTAAGCTACCGTTATGGCACTCCTGGCACTTCCCCCTGGTCTGGTGCCCTGATCTGGACAGGGATTTTGACTGTTTGTCGACTGGTTTGTGTGGACTGAACGGACGTCATAATCGTTTCAGTGACAAAGCATAAAATTTGAGTTTTACGATTTAACTGGGCTATAAAGCAGCCAATTAGTGTCAGTCAGGAGAAGGCAAAACCGAAGACGAGCCCAAGGGGAAGGAGGGAGGCATTGGCCAATGCCATTGCATTCGATTGGTCCGAGAACCGGAAGGGGTACTGGGGGACCAAGGGGACATGGCGACATGGGGAGAGGCAAGTGGCAATGGGACATGGCTGCCTTCGGGGCACTCCACTCCACTCCACTCCACTCTCCGGTTGTGGATTGAGTTCTTGTGAGAAGTGCATTTAATTGTTTTATGATCATTTTGACAGCTCATTAAAAGTATTGAGGCCCCCCACTAAATTCCAGTGGCTGTTTCATTTTGGGCTCGGCTGGCAAAGGCTGCCAGTTAGAAGCACATGACTCCCCACATTGCGTTTTCCGTTCAAGTGGCTTTTTAAGGAGCTGCCTAATATACGACTTTTCCGACACACGCAACAAGCACGAGCCCATAGCCCATAGCCCATCCCCATCCCCATCCACACCCACAGCCAGTCCAAGTGAGAGTCTTAACGGGAGAACAGCAGCAGCGGGTCATAAAAATGATGACAATTTCGTTTTATTTTTTATGACATTGCGACGCGGCGTCGCCTGCGGTCTCCACTGTACAGGTGGCTCTCGGCGCTGGAGGTGTGTGGACAAACAAACACACAGAATATGCCTCCATCTCTCTGCATTGAAATAATTTTGTTGTCGTTGCTGTATTTGTTGTTGTTGCCGTAAATCACCATGTCAACTGTTGCTTCTGTTTGTCAGTTGAGGCTCTCAATGGGAACTCGGTGCGTACAATGGGAGGAAAGCAATGAAACAATTAACAATTATGTTATTATTATTTTTTCTTGTTCATAAATCAGCTGGAGCTAAAATATATGCAAATTGAAACTATATGCTTAAGTGATAATGTCAACTTAAGCCCAAGATGGAAATTTCTCTGTCAAATCTGTCAATTGCAACCTAACCGAAATTATCTGCAATATATACACTCAGAACAAAAAATCATTCTGGAATTTAGAAAGTGGCCTTGAAATAAAAAACGTACTCAAATTTAGCAAATGTTTCATGTTTTAAAAAATAATTTATGAATATAAGAAACATTTTTTCTCAAAAATATGAAGGCTTTCCCAAAATCCACAATCCCAAAATGTTCTTCTATTTCTATGCCAAAAAAGTATAAATATAAAACCACGATTCTTAAATAAACCGCGTAGTTTAAAATTTAGAGCAAATTAGTCGTAAGTCACTCAACTCGCGAACGAAGTTTCTCTGATTCAAATCTTCGTTAACTCAAATGTTTTCCAAAATAAGTTAATATATTTGAATTATGTAAAATGTGTTCACATATGTTAAATCTCAAATAACTAATATAAGTAATACAGAATATAATATAATAATTTTTCTATACAACACAGACATGGACATATTAATATATATACATTAAAAACCACAATGAAATAAACTAGAATGCCCAAACCTTTAATTTAAGAAAAATTAAGTCAGATTAATAAAGTGGTGCCAATTTCTAAAATTCATGTTAATTTTTTCTGAGTGTAATTGCATACTTGCATACTCATATATGCATATGTACAGTTAATAAGTCAGTTTAGCATTTCTAATATACGTGCAAACTTGGCTTGGAGTTGGTTCTGTCCATTATTATTGGCTGCCACTTTGACTCCGACAATTGCAATTGCAATTGTCACGGCGCACTTGCGTTCAATTTGAATTGCAATTGCAATTGATTGATGATGCCGCCACGGAGTTGATACTCCATCGTGAGCTGCAATTGGCAATCTAATTAAACAAATCGTGACCAATTGGCATTGGCATTGGCAACGCAAGCCGCCGTCGTCTGTGGTGAGGCAGTGGGGCAGTGTGGGGCACTGGCAACCACTTGACAACATTACTGCATGGGTTCGCCTCGAACTTGTGACTTGCCTTCAGGCATAACTCTGGTGCTCCCGTGGAATAAATAAAATGGCTCGCAAGACGCAATGTGAATGTGCAACAAACAACCAAACACAAAGCAACAACAGCAACAAGAACAACACAGACGTCTAGAAGGGCCCCAGCCAGGTGAAGTGAGTAAACAAAAATGAGAAATGTCCGCTGATTGATATTATCCGGTGCTAACGCACCGACTCCCCCTCCTCACAATGGAATAATGCACACCCACGCAGACAGAGAGACTTGCATGGCAGACAGCCAGAATGGTAATCGGTAATCGAGGAATGGATTTCCATTTAGCGTTTCCGCTGCGGCCATATTTCATTTGTGCTGTCAACATGATATTCAGCCGCGACTCGAAGGCATTTGTTATGTGCAGTAGATACTATATCTATACTATATCTGGTTAGCATTCCATCAACATATGTCCAGGGCTGCCATAACGAAAAACCATTGTTCTTCTTTTTTACCTTATCGTGTTGTGCTTTTTTCATGCATTTTTTATTACTTGTCAAATTATTGTCTGCTTTTACCTTAGATTTTCCAT